TGCGCCGTGGTGCTCTGCGCCTGTGCCGTCGTCGGCTTCGGCTGGCTGATGCGCGTCGGCCGCAGCTGTGTATAGGATGTGGAGCGTCGTTGATTGCAGGTCATGGCCGGTGGCGTCAATACGGATGACTGGACAGCGGCCCGCTCGAACTGGGCTCGAGCTGCCTGAGACTGAGACTGTGGCTGGGGCTGTGGCTGAGCCTGGGACTGAGCCTGAAGTTGGGACTGAGTCTGAGCCTGGGCCTGGGCCTGAACTTGAGACTGAGTCTGAGCCTCAGCTTGGTGCTGGCCCTGAGCCTGGGTTTTAGCCTGAGCTTGAACCTGAGCCTGTTGCTGGGACTGAGCCTGCGGCTGAGCCAGGGACTGAGCCTGTTGCTGTTCCTGGGACTGAGCCTTAGCCAGAGCCTGAGCGTTAGCCCTTGCCTGACTCTTAGCTTGAGCTTGAGCCTCAGCTTGTTCCTGGGACTGAGTCTCGCCCTGAGCTTGAGCCTGAGTCTGAGCCTCAGCTTGGGGCTGGGCTTGAGCCTGAGCCATAGCTCTAGCCTGAGATTTAGCCTGAGCCTGAGTCTGAGCCTGATCCTTAGCCAGGGTCTTAGCTTGAGCCTGAGCTTGAGCCTCTGCTGATTTACTCTGTGTTACAGTCTCCGGCTGCATTGCCTGCTGCTGCCGCACCAAAGGCACTGGCTCTGGATCTGGTACCTATAATTGTTAATTATTATTATTACTTTTCACTTTTCAACATCTCTAAGATATTTCAGCTTGCTTACCTTTGGTGGCGCTTGTGGTTGCAGCTGTGTGGAAGTTATCCAAGTCTTGGACGTGGTCATGGTAAAAGTTGCACTCTCTGGTGGCCTTCTGCTCAAGCGCTCGGCTGATGAGCTCGCCTCCCTCTGCAGAGCATTAAATTAATTAATTAACAATGGCATTCCATATGTATATATGACATGGCTCAGCTACACTCCACTCTACCTCACTTCACTTCACTCTACTCCACCCACAGCTGTTCGGGTGACTCACCTGCTCTTCTGCTGCCGCTGCTGCTGCTGCTGCTGCTGCTGCTGTCTGCCTGCTGCGCTGCCTGCTGTGGGTCAGCTTCAGCTTGTTCGTTTCACGTTGCATGCTCACCGTTGTGCGATTATTGTCCTGTTTGCGCTTGAGTTCGTCCATGGGGCTGGAGCCTAGCAACGGCTGCAGCTGCTGGGCACGCACAAAGAGGCCGCAGTTGGGCGCACACTTGAAGTAGGTGCTGCCATGGACAGTGCCATTGTTTTTGCCACGCGGCTCGTCCAGCACAATACCGAACCACTGGCCGCCAGCGAATGTGGTGCGCCCCACATAGGCGACACGGCCGCTAAGTTGATGCTTGCCCGCTACTTGTACACGCTGGCCAAGTTTCGGTTGAGCTGTTGACATATTCGTGCGAGAGCTTACGTCATTTTGGCTTAACGCATTGGCCCGCCGCTATATATCGAGCGATGGCGTGCCTAATCCCAGTTAACAAACCCTCACAAAACTGCACTGCAAAACTGATGCGTTCGTCATTTCGTTATTTCGTCTGCCCCACCCCAAAAGGGAGCCAAGCGAAGGCGTTGCGGCCACAGCGCAGAATCGTGAACTTTCCGGGTGGTTGCTTCAATCAGTGTGCATACAGCACGTGGCTGGAAACGAGTAAACGGTGCGATGGCTACGAGTGCTCCGGCTGTTGGAGCAACAGCTCCAGATGGGAGCTGACGTTTCGAATTTAAGTAGCTTGAGCTTAGCATAGTCATAGTCTTTTATTTAAATATATTTATTTGAAAATATATAGTGTTTTTTTTTT